AGAAGGGAAAACCATAAGGTGAAGAAGAATATTCTGGAAAGCACTTTGGGCTCTAGGATATTTTGCTGATGATGGAGGGCAGAATGGATGCATTGGTGATGCACAGAGGGGCTTGAGATTGGTCAAAATTAGGGAGAAATGCAGTTATATGGGAATCGGATTCCGAGTAGAAAGAATGTTCTAGAAGTGTTGGGTTTCTGGTGACTGAGGTGAATGAAGTTTTAGGGTGTGATGGGATTCTCCCGTTGGTCTTCCAGGGGGAGGTAGAGAATTCCTGAGAATTATAGCCTCTTTTGGGGAATGATCTTTTAATCAAGTTGAAGCGATAAAGGCAGGAGTTCATTGGTATGGGGTTGGGTTGGGGGAAAGGCTACCTACCAGGGCAGCCCTGGGGCTCTAGCCTTGCCGCTGGGACAGAGGGAGCGCCTCCCCTCCAGGGTGGTGGGCTGCCAGGGGAGGTCAGCCTTCCTTCCATTGAGGATCGAAATGAAAGTCAAGATCAGTTTTGGCCAAAGCAATGGAGTTCTCCACTTGGTAAAATATGTCTGATTATTGCTGTTAGCATTAAAAGTTTTGCAACAACAAAAGGAGTGATGAACATGAAGATTATCATTAGATAATATTTAGTATTAGATATAGCATTTGCAAAGGAATATGCACAGAGCCGTTAGTTTTTGAGGCGACAAAATGAAAACATCTAGTTTTAAGGGGTAAATCACTTGAAAAGCTTATTTGCTTTGTTTTCTTTTCGAGGCTCGTTTCAAAACCCTATGCATGGAGAAACTGCTGATTAAGCAGGAACAATTCTTTATCATTTTGCTGGGGAAAAAAACAACCGACCTATTTATAAAATTAGCTCCATTCCATCTGATTCTGAAGTTGAAAAGGAAAAAATGCTTTAGGCCCACGAGGGCCTTTGATGGTCCCAGTTCCTGTAAAAAGCTAATTATTGTCACCATGGCTCTTGGAGAGACTGCAGAGCAGAAAGGTCTGTTGAAGCAGAGTGAGCATGTGGGGGAGGCTTCTTTGTGTCCAGATCCTTTTTCTGACCCCCCCTTCCCAGCCCCCAGAGAGGGAATATTCTCCTTCATGTTCCGTTGGAAGCCGATCTCCCCCAAAGAGAGCCCTCCCTGCAGTTACTAGAATTTAGCAAATTACATACTTTCAAAGTTGAGAATCTGTCTCCTTTCCATTAAATCAGCCGAACTCAAGCTGTGGGAACCATATTTGCTTTCTGAAGTGTTTTCTGATTTTGACACTCAAAGAAATAATTTTCTTATTAAGTGGTTCCCTGCACTTTCAACATTGTTCTGACTTTGATCATATGATATAGTTGAGGTTGGAAATTATCTAAATTACTTCGGTGTTTTGGGAGTTTTCATGATCGTGAGTATGAAAAGAAATCATGGAATCACATAATTTCATGATGTGAACAACAACAACAAAAAAATCCCATCGATTTACATAATCTTCTAAGCACCCGAAAGGGGAGGAGTGGGGGGAGGAGACCCAAGTTTGCTGAGCGGCTCCTATGTGCCCCACATGGTGTGTGGAGTGAGCTCCTCTCCCACTGGCATCACCTGCCTGTGTCCTCCCTCCTCTCTCTGACCCCCCCTACGTCCCCCATGCACCTGACCCACTCCCCACTTTCTGAATGAGCGCTTGTTCCTGCCGAGCAGAGGGACGGAAGCAGGGAGAGAGGTGTTGCAGGCCCAGGTGGTGAAACGCAGGGCCGGATTCCTCAGAGGCCCAATGAGATGGGCATGCTAATTGGATTTGGTGGCAGGTCCTTGGTGACCTTCCCAAAGCACTCGTGTGTCGTGGTTAGAGAGGAAACCGGATTTAGGTCAGTTGAGAATGGAATTGAAGAGGAGGAATTTAAAAGCATAGACTCTTTTTATGAGAAGCTGAGTTCTGCAAAGCAATCCATAGCAAGAAGGTCAAGGAGCTTTGAAGCAGAACTATTTTGCCAAGATGTGAAGACTGACATCTGTGTGGGCCAATGGGGATAGAGCCAGGTAGGGGCACAGTTTATTTTGTGGGTTGGTGAGGACTGCATTGATACTGAGATCTGGGCTATACCTTTAAACCTTTTTTGTATGCCAAGATGTGATCTCCTTTATTTCTCATGACATCCCTATTATAGAGAAGGAAAATCTCTACTCAGGTTTAGTGGCTGGGGCCTGCGAATTAATCCGACCACAAAACAGATTAATAGGAGAAAAGGTTTATGTCGCATGCACAGGGGCCTCACAGAAGAGAAGTGAAAACCCAAAGAGGCCATTATGCTTGAGATGTTTACGTACCATTTTAACAAACGGCAATGCAGTATGGAGAGGTGAGACACGAAGGAAAAGGGTTTGGGCTTTTAGGATGGTAAATTGTGGGAAGGTAAGTATAAAGGAGACTAATGGAACTTAAGGGTTTTTTAGTAAAGTTGGTTTGTGCAGACTCATCTCCTCGAGTGACAAGGGTTGCTCTCTTCCTCCTCCGGCTACGGAAGTGAGGAGGGAACACCTTTACGAAGGGAGACGTGTGTGCAGTTTCTCAGTTGCCCTCAGCTCAAAATAATCCTATGCCAAAGTGGCATATTTTTAGGTGAATGTTTTGATCCCCTTATGAACGAGAGAAATGGCAGTGCCCCCATCATACAGAGGAGGAAAGCCAGTCAGGCACCTCAAGGACTCACCCTTCTACAGGATGGAACTGGGGTTCGATCCCAGATCTGTTCACCTACAAAGGTGCCTGCCTGTCTGCTGGAGGACACCGTGGAGACTTCTGTGTAAGGTGTGTTCTCCACAACCATGTCATGAACAACAAGAAATCGAGGGAGGGATCCCTGGAGCATGATTTTTCTCCTGGAGTTATGCAAACACCTTTATGCCAATTTATTGGGAATAGTGTTTATTAACTTCACACTCAGCATTCTGCCGGTTAGTTGGGGGTGGGGTCCGTACAACCGCTCGTGATCAAGGGCATAATACAACGACCTGAGTTTCCATGTTTTGCAAGGAGCAGTAATTCTGACTCTGGATGGTGGTACCAGCTGCCAACTGAGTTGTCTTCCTAGAGGTAGCTGTAATATACTAAGATGTCACGAACCGAAGAATTATTCAGCTCGCAGCCCCAAAGTTTGATAGATGGCCTGCTGAATTTGGCAACGCGTGATGTGGCATCGGAAATGCCATGGGAAAATTATTCAATATTGGACGCTTTTGACAACTTAATGGCTGCCTGTTCCCAGGCTGAATGGAACTCTGGAAGGCATTTTCTTTTCACCGTCTCCAAATGCATTTCGCTCTGCAGCAAATAACGTGTAGCTCTGGGCCCTTCCTTGCAAACACAATGGAAAGAATCAGTTTAAATTTTATTGTCTGTTGATAAATACTTGGTGCATTATTTCAGCCAGCTCTAATTGGATTTATTTTTAAACTCGGTTTCTGCAAATTGTACTGACAGTAAACAATAAAATCAGATGATTATTCTAATACAGAAAACATAAACACAGCAAAAACATAAACACAGCAAAACTGCTTGTGCGGCCTCGTCCTGGCCTTTTAGTGCCTCGGCGGATTGGCCGGCCCGTGTGCTCTTGCTGGGGATTTATAGGAACCTTGCAACATAGCAGAGCGCTACCCCAGCTCAGAGAAGACACTTGCCATGCTCATTGCACAGTCTAAAATATTTTTAAGATCGATTCTTCAGTTATAATATGAGGGAGCTTTGTTGTTTTTCAGAATTAAATCAGGGCACAAGGCATATGCCAGTTGTGTTCTGGAACACTTCAGATCCACCAATGCTGTGACCTAAAAACCCGGGCCACATACGTTGATCTCCATCCTCCCATTGATACTGTGCAGTGTCCTCCCCAAAAGCAGTGGGGACTTTGGCAGTCAGGGCATTTCTCACCCCCTCAGTGGTGTGTGTTTTGCCCTGAAACCTGAAGCATGAGCTCAGTGCCTGGCTGGTTTCCCTGGTGGACGGGGAGACACTGCAGGCGTGCTGGGCGCTGTGTCCCGGTCCTGTCCCTGCTCCTGGGGGCTGACACACGGCATATCCTCAGCAAGGGGCCTTTCGTGGAACTCCACAGCGTGGGTGTCGGTGTTCCTTTGGAGGCTGCGGTGTACCTTCATGTTCTTTACGCGGTCTGTCCAAATGGCAGCATCTCTGGAACATGCCGGAACCATAAACGTTCGTGGTTAATGATGATTTGCTTACAGAAGGGGGAGTGCCCCGAGGGATCTGAATTCCGCGATCTTTCCATTCAGGGGGCACATCGAGGTTAATAGGAACACGGGACCTTCTCAGAGCCTGCAGCTGAGGCTCACAGAGCAGAATGTCCCATCTTTCTGGGAGTGTCACAGAAGGCAGTGACCACAGGTGTTCTTCCTCGGACTTGGGAATTGGGAATAAAGGGGAGGTTTGAGGAAATAGGATATCGGATGGTATTGGTTACTCCACGCAGTCCTTTGAAGCACTCACATCTCAGAGCATTGTCCTCATGTGAAACGTCCATGTATTGAGCCAGCATCAGGTGAGTTCCAAATACTTGGTTAGTCTCCTGACAGATATCTGAAGTCTGTTCAGACTTATGGGCACAAATCTGTTGCCTCTGTCTCACTGGTTCTTTTTGAAATTTACTTTCAAAAATAAAATGAAATTCTCAGTAGCCGATCCTACCACAGAGTTATCCTGTTGGAGATAATCACTGGCTCTTTGGAGGAAATAGATCCGTTTTTCTTCAATCAGACATGCTAGGGAGAGCCTGCCATCCCCTCTGGCCAGAGGTTCACACGTCTGCCAGAGGGATTGGATTTTACCACCCTTTTTATCCCGTGGATGGTGAGCCGAATCTGTGTCTGGCTGCAGAAATGTTCTACCCAACTTAATGGATGCGTACCACAAATACTTCTCGTCAGCCGGGTGGTTTTTGCAGCATTCTTATCTTAGCAGGAATGGATGCAGTTGAAGTTCATTGCTGTTCTTTTTTTCCCCAACAGGTTCTTAGCATGATAATCAATGCAGCTTACAAGCCTGGAAGGGTATTGAGAGAATTACAGCTGGTGGAAGATCCACACTGGAATTTTCAGGAGGAGACGCTGAAGGCAAAGTAGGTGTTCTCAGTCCTGGGAAACAAGGCTCTTGTAATGGTTAGCCCGCTACTTTGAAACTCGTCATTCCTCTTCTTGACACAGCCCACAGAAATGGGAATAAAGGGGGAGGACTGTCATTCTTTAGTTCTGTGCGCTACGTACAGATTTATTGGTGTTTCTGTTACACGGAGTTGCCTTAAGCCTTGGGATTCCGGAACTAAAGGAGAGATTTGTTTAGCTGATACTTTATTGTGTTAAACATTCAGAATCAGAACGTCCTGTGATTCAGGGCCAATAGATTATTTGATCAGAAGGGGAACAATTATAAGAGAGAGGATATCTGTTATCATCATTATATGTTATTCATTAACAGCTCTTAATATTTGATACTGTAAAGAGCTTATGCCAGACAGTTAAATGTTCTTTGCTCTGAGAGTTGACAGTTTTAAAAAATAAAAAGAACCCATACCTCTGCTTGGCTTTGGTTGACGGGCTGTGGGTTGACATGGGAAGAGAACCTTGTTTTACACTCTCACATCCCTTCACTTCTTTTATTTGCAGATAGGCTAACTGGAGAGATGATGTTTTGGCTTTGCTTTGAGGTTCTCGAGCTCTGAAATTGATAGCACCCCCTCTGGATCGATAAGCTTGAACATGGTAGTTTAGAAGGCAGATAGAAGAAGATCCATTTCTCAAGATAATTTTCTTTCATAATTGCTTTGACTTCCGGTCCTTGGTGTTCATTTAGCTTTTCAACAGAATAGATCTTACTGGTCAGCTTCTTGTAGAACAGTGTCCTCAAATAGCCTTTAGATGTGACATTTGGGAAACGATAACTTTTTTGAACAGTGAACCACGTTCAGTGGCTAGAGTGTGGCTGAGGCCTCCTTTAAAGAAAGTACCTTTCCTGTTTGTAGTGAAAGTTGAGGGATGTGAAATGGTTTGTTTGACCAGTAGTATTCTCCCGTGTGGTTAACTTACTACTCTGGTACGGAGTAAGGATGGTGAGATACTGCTCGGCTGCTCTCCACTCGTCTCTTCTCCACTCAACATTTCTTTTTTGAACACATCTGCAATTTTAGACTCCGTGAACGTCATTTGTGGTCTCATGATGCTCTGCCAAATCACAGAAGTCAAAGGGAATACATGTTAACTGGGAGAATGTTTATTTGTATGAAGTGGCCTGTCACTGAAAGGTGGTACCATATTTCATCCTTCCCATGAAGTATTTAAATGAACCTCCCCTATAAATGACCTGAAAGGATATGATTAATGGGAAAAATTAATGATCTCTTTCAGTCATACTAAGTCTTTTCCTTCTGTAATTACTGTGGTTTGTTAGTGTTTTGCTTTTTTGTTTTTTATAATAGAAATGAATGTAAGTCACTGTATTTATTTCAAAAATAAATAAGTAAATAATACAATAAGTAAATGAGCCCCACCTGTAGTGCAGAAGAAACCAAAGCAAGGCTTTTTCCAGCCGAATGTTCCATATCTTTCTACTTCATCTGAGGGGGGATCAGCAGCAGCATGACATTTTCTAAGGTTTAATGCATAGGAACAGTGGTGGCCAAAAACCTGAGCAAGTGTATGTACAGAGAAACATTTGTTTTAAACAGTTTCTGTAAAATTCAGTACCTCCCAAACACACCTCACAGATAAGGAAATAGGACAACTACAAAAATCTTAAACCCCATTAAAATCTCCCCTGTTCGTAAACAAGCCAGAAAGTTGCCCCAGGTACCAAAATGACAGGGAGAGTTAATTTTGCGGTGTTAGCACTCATTTTCATGTTGCCAAGTCGATCAGAGCTTTTATGAAATCCAGCCTGATACAATCAAAACCGACACCGGGAAATCAGCCCTGGCTGATCGTAAAGGCAACGTATTACCTATTAGATCAGATATGACAGCGAGTTCCTTAGCCAGATCTTACGAAGCAGCTTATAATGAGAACGTGTCTTGTCTGTGAGTGTGCTGGATTACAGTTGCTAATGATGACAGATTTACAGGTGGGAGGGGGCGTTCCCGTTAGGATACTATGTGTTGAGTCACCTCTTCGCTTCTGATGTAAAACGACAACTTTTTAGATCTTGACAGCTTGCGCAAATGAGAGGAGAGAGCCCCCAGCTTCTTCCCATTTTCTTGAAAGGCTGAAATGCTTTCTGTCGTGAATAAATTAACTTCCTGAGTGGGGGGGGGACCTGCATTTAAGGCATTCTGTTGTTTGGGTTGTGGTCTTTGAATGATAGTATCACAAGGAGTGCTTTCAGGAGGAGAGGACGTGAGCTCCACGTGAGATCATGAGATCATCCACCCCTGGGGCTTGGGAGGGCTGTCACTGAGCATTGGGGTTTCTGACTGGTGCTTCCTCTTCTGAAGAGAAAAGACCCATTTCCTTGAGAGGATGGAGATGCCATTAAAAAGGTTTGACCTGTGCATAGGAGAAAAACTTAACATCGTCACCTTTTGACCCTTGGTGATTTTTTTTTTCCTATTTATCTAACAATCATACCTTTTATACTAAAAGAAATTATTGCAGTATTGAACACCATGTAAGGACTCTGTATCTTGAGTCTTCAGCGTGTATTGAAAGGCAAAACTGGGGTAGCTATGATGCCAAAGGGAAAGTAGATTCTCATGTAGTTCATTTTAGCAGTCCTGGGAAAGAAGATTGTTTCTTTCCGATGAACTTAAGTATACTAAATTGACTTACATTATTTTGAATTTCAGGAGGAGGAATTTAGGCTATACCTTTGGGGGATAAAAAAAAAATTCCAACTCTGTGCATCTAGAGACATTTACATGTTTTCCAACATGTTCTAGAATCTTCTTGGGGGGAGAAAGACTGTTAACTCTGCTTTGAGTGGCTTTTGTGATCATCTTTATAAAATCCAGGTGAAGGCTTAATAGATTTTCCCAGTCCTTTGTTATAGTTATTCAGAATATTTAAAGAGGAAATGTGCTCTTTAAATTGGAGGGAATGAGACTTCCTTATCACTTAGGCACACGCAAGGAAATTCACAACTTAGAGGTGAGTCATGCTTGGCTCTAGGGAAATGATATTTTGGTTTCTTTTTCATAAGCAATTACTGATTTTTTATGTGTTTCTCTTTCACTTTTTTTGGTCTTTTACTCATGCTCCTATTTTGTGGGTAGCCAGATGTAATATTTGGCTGCAGAGTGATTTGTGTAGAAAAGGATTCGTAAACAGAGACTTTCCACTGGAAAAAAAATTATTAGTTGGTTCATTTGTCAGTTTTTACCATGCTCAGATTTGTGCGCTTGCTCTCCTGAAAACGTATGCCATAAACATTATGGGAAGCGGGCGGCTGGACCAGTTTGGGGAGCACAAGCCTGAATTTCTGCATGAGCTTAAGTTCATCAGGTTACGGGCGTGTTGTTTCTGCTGCAAACACAGACCAGTTTAGGATGTTCTGAATTGGATGGGGTCTTTCCAAACACACACACACACACACACACACACACACACACACACACACCCTTTATTACACAGAGTTCTCATTCCTTGAAATGCAGGAATCCAGAAAGAAGAGAGAAGTTTCTGAGGGGTTGAGTATCCTAAGACTGGAAGCCAATGAACCAAAGTGTTGCCCATAGTTCTGATGATCAGGAAGATTTGACGATGAAGGAAGGAAAGACTCTCTTCTGAAGGAAATCAGGACCATATATCACGGTTGCTAAGGAGAAGAGTGATGGTCTCACAGCCTGTGAAGCTTCTCTGTCTTTGCAGAGCTAAATTCTTCCTTCAGTATTCGAGGATGCGGATTCAGCCTGATGGAAGAGAACCTTGTTTTACACTCTCACACCCCTATCTCTGCCTCACCAAGTTTTGTGAAAAGGTCCTGCTATGGGTCGTTTTGCAAGTGAATGATAGAACTTAGGCCAAGTTGGAGTCCTCCCCCTTGGACTGTCCTGATATTTAAGAGTGGATTGTTACATCAGTGTTGGGTTTTTCACTCTGTATTTCCTTTTGATTCAAAATCCATTTTGGTTTTTCTCAGCTCTCATCTACTGAAAGAGACACATTTTTCCAGCACTCTCGCTTCTCCATCTTCATCTGTCTTTCTCCACCCTGCCCTACATACTCATATGTGGAAATTAACCCCTGCTTTGATTGGTGGGAAAATACTGGAAGGCCATTCACATTTCCTTATTGATGGCAAGGAGGAAAAAACCTTTTCTCTACCCTGTTAGGTTCAGTTCCTGGAAGCCTGCAAATTAAACTGACAAATGACAGATGAGCAAGAGAAAAGACTATTTACTTACATAAGGTGCATGCACACACATGAAGGAGTGCTTCGTGATGAGTAACTTGAAGGGACAGTTAGGATTTGGAGCTTTATGTGTATGGTATAGCTAATTTAGTAGGAGAAAGAGTATGGAGCAACAGCCTGTAGGGGAAGAACAAATAGGCTTCTTTATGAAAGACAAATGACTTTTTAGGAGAACAAATAGGAGATAAGAAAGTTTGTGAAAATGTTGGTTTATGCAAGCACAAGCAGTCTTTCTGTCTTTTTCATAGGCTGTGAAATTCCTCAGAGATGGGATTTATGGTAGGTTTACTCTGGTCTCTCCCCTGGGATTAGAAGCCACTCCAAAGAGGGAATTTATGGTAGTCCTCATTTCTCAGAAGTTTCTGCTTTTAGTCAGATAATGGAAGCTCTGAGAAAGCTGCTTTCTGCATGTGTTGGATCTCAAACATCTTCATCTTAAAATAATCTCTGTGTCGACTCTGGGATTCTGAGTGGGTCCCCACAGTGACAGCCAGGATCCCTCCTGCATCTCTCTGTTCTCTGACGTCCGATGCTGTTTCATAGTGGGTGTCTGAGACCAGTGTCACCCCAGCCTCTCCTTGGGCACCCCGATAGTAGAGACAAGATCACATTCCACACGTTTCTGGAGCCTCAGTAAAGCTGAGGTGCAAAGGGAATGGGGGAAGAAGTCTTCAAAATAACGGAGGCAAGGGGCACCTGGGTGGCTCAGTCGGTTAAGCG